ATACTGGGAATGGCACTGGGGATACTGGGGATACTGGGAATGGCACTGGGGATACTGGGAATGGCACTGGGGATACTGGGGATACTGGGAATGGCACTGGGGATACTGGGGATACTGGGGATACTGGGAATACTGGGAATGGGGCTGGGGATACTGGGGATACTGGGGATACTGGGAGTGGCACTGGGGATACTGGGAATGGCACTGGGGATACTGGGAATACTGGGAATGGCACTGGGGATACTGGAGACACTGGTGACACTGGGGACACTGGGGACACTGGTGACACTGGGGACACTGAGGGGACACTGGGGACAGTGGGGACACTGGTGACACTGGGGACACTGGTGACACTGGTGACACTAGGGACACTGGGGACACTGGTGACACTGGTGACAGTGGTGACACTGGTGACACTGGGGACACTGGTGACACTGGGGACAGTGGGACCCTCCCCCAGCCCGTGCGGGAGGAGGGGGAGGGGCGCGGCCACCTCGCTGTCACCCGGTGCCACCCGGGCCGGGCCAGCGAGTTCCTCCGGCGGCGGCAGCGGAAGTGGCGATGCCACCGCAGCGATGTCACCGCTGTCACATTGATGCCACCCCAGCGATGCCACCCCAGCGATGCCACCACACCGGTGCCACCGCAGCGATGTCACCGCAGCGATGTCACCCCACCAGCGCCACCAGTGATGCCACCCCAGCGGTGGCGATGTCACCAAGCAGAGCTGGCACTGTCCCCTCCCCGATATCCCCGATGTCCCCAGGGCCCCCGATGTCCCCGCTGTCCCCTCACCGCTGTCCCCGATGTCGCCGCTGTCCCCTTTGGCCCCGATGTCCCCAGGGTCCCCCTCCTCGCTGTCCCCGCTGTTCTCGATGTCCCCGGGGTCCCTCCCCGCTGTCCCCAGGGTCCCCCCGGTGTCGCCGCTGTCCCCTTTGGCCCCGATGTCGCCGCTGTCCCCTCCCGGCCGGATCCGAATTGCTGCGCTCTGACTCAGGCCGGGCCCGGCCGGAATTTCTGCCCCGGCCGCCCCTCCCCGGCCGCGACCGGAGCTGCCATAAATCCCGGGAGGGACCGGGACAGCACCGGGACAGGGACAGGGACAGGGACAGGGACAGGGACAGGGACAGGGACAGGGACAGGGACAGGGACAGGGACAGGGACAGGGACAGGGACAGGGACAGGGACAGGGACAGGGACAGGGACAGGGGGACACCGGGACGGGGATGGAGCCGCTGGAGCTGCCCAGGGTAGGATCGGGATCGGGAACCGGGAATGAATTGGGATCGGGGATCGCAATAAATCCCGGGAGGGACCGGGACAGCACCGGGACGGGGACAGGGACAGGGCCGGGGACGGGGATGGAGCCGCTGGAGCTGCCCAGGGTAGGATCGGGATCGGGAATGGATTTGGAACTGGGATCGGGATCTCCGGTCCTCAATAAATCCCGGGAGGGATCGGGACGGGGACGGGGACACCGGGACGGGGACAGGGACAGGGCCGGGGACGGGGATGGAGCCGCTGGAGCTGCCCAGGGTAGGATCGGGATCGGGAATGGATTTGGAACTGGGATCGGGATCTCCGGTCCTCAATAAATCCCGGGAGGGATCGGGACGGGGACGGGGACACCGGGACGGGGACAGGGACAGGGCCGGGGACGGGGATGGAGCCGCTGGAGCTGCCCAGGGTAGGATCGGGATCGGGAATGGATTTGGAACTGGGATCGGGATCTCCGGTCCTCAATAAATCCCGGGAGGGATCGGGACGGGGACGGGGACACCGGGACGGGGACAGGGACAGGGCCGGGGACGGGGATGGAGCCGCTGGAGCTGCCCAGGGTAGGATCGGGATCGGGAATGGATTTGGAACTGGGATCGGGATCTCCGGTCCTCAATAAATCCCGGGAGGGATCGGGACGGGGACGGGGACACCGGGACGGGGACAGGGACAGGGCCGGGGACGGGGATGGAGCCGCTGGAGCTGCCCAGGGTAGGATCGGGATCGGGAATGGATTTGGAACTGGGATCGGGATCTCCGGTCCTCAATAAATCCCGGGAGGGATCGGGACGGGGACGGGGACACCGGGACAACACCGGGACGGGGACAGGGACAGGGACGGGGATGGGGATGGAGCCGCTGGAGCTGCCAAGGGTAGGATCGGGAACCGGGAACCGGGATCGAGAACTGGGATCTCCGGTCCGCAAAAAAATCCCGGGAGGGACCGGGACAGGGACCGGGATGGGACAGGGACAGACACAAGGACAGGGACACCGGGACACCGGGACACCGGGACGGGGAGCGGGACGGGGATGGAGCCGCTGGAGCTGCCCAGGGTAGGATCGGGATCGGGAATTGGGAACTGGGATTGGGAACTGGGAGGGGATTGGGAACTGGGATCTCCGGTCCGCAATAAATCCCGGGAGGGATCGGGACCGGGACGGGGACAGACACAGGGACGGGGACAGACACAGGGACAGGGACCGGGACCGGGACAGGGACAGGGACAGGGACAGGGACACAGGGACAGGGACAGACACAGGGACAGGGACACAGGGACACAGGGACGGGGGTGGAGCCGCCCAGGGTAGGATCGGGGTGGGATCGGGAACTGGGATTGGGGTGGGATTCGGGACTGGGGGGGGATTGGGACCTCCACGGTGTCCCCCCGGTGTCCCCCCGGTGTCCCCACCGTGTCCCCACGATCCCAAATCCCAAACCCCATTCCTGCTGCTCCTCGGGGCCGGGGCTGTCCCTGGGGGGGTGCCCGGGGCTGTCCCCGGGGGGCTGCGAGGAGAGCGAGGCCTGGCTGGGCCCGGGGGGGTTCCCCCAGCCCTGTCCCCACGGAGCCCCCGAGGGAGAGGCCCCGGAGCTCCAAGGTACGTCCTGATCCCAAATCCCCAATCCCAAACCCCGAATCCCGATCCCAAACTCCAAATCCCGAATCCTGATCCCAAATCCCCAATCCCAAACCCCGAATCCTGATCCCAAACCCCAAATCCCGAATCCCGATTCCCAGAGCCCCCCATGGAGGATGACGTCTACTGCCACCTCCTGTCCCTATTCCAAACCCCAAACCCCGATCCCAAATCCCAAACCCCAAATCCCGAATCCTGATCCCAAATCCCGAATCCTGATCCCAAATCCCGAATCCTGATCCCAAATCCCGAATCCTGATCCCAAATCCCGAATCCTGATCCCAAATCCCGAATCCTGATCCCAAATCCCGAATCCTGATCCCAAATCCCGAATCCTGATCCCAAATCCCGAATCCTGATCCCAAATCCCGAATCCTGATCCCAAATCCCGAATCCTGATCCCAAATCCCGAATCCTGATCCCAAATCCCGAATCCTGATCCCAAATCCCGAATCCTGATCCCAAATCCCGAATCCTGATCCCAAATCCCGAATCCTGATCCCAAATCCCGAATCCTGATCCCAAATCCCGAATCCTGATCCCAAATCCCGAATCCTGATCCCAAATCCCGAATCCTGATCCCAAATCCCGAATCCTGATCCCAAATCCCGAATCCTGATCCCAAATCCCGAATCCTGATCCCAAATCCCGAATCCTGATCCCAAATCCCGAATCCTGATCCCAAATCCCGAATCCTGATCCCAAATCCCGAATCCTGATCCCAAATCCCGAATCCTGATCCCAAATCCCGAATCCTGATCCCAAATCCCGAATCCTGATCCCAAATCCCGAATCCTGATCCCAAATCCCGAATCCTGATCCCAAATCCCGAATCCTGATCCCAAATCCCGAATCCTGATCCCAAATCCCGAATCCTGATCCCAAATCCCGAATCCTGATCCCAAATCCCGAATCCTGATCCCAAATCCCGAATCCTGATCCCAAATCCCGAATCCTGATCCCAAATCCCGAATCCTGATCCCAAATCCCGAATCCTGATCCCAAATCCCGAATCCTGATCCCAAATCCCGAATCCTGATCCCAAATCCCGAATCCTGATCCCAAATCCCGAATCCTGATCCCAAATCCCGAATCCTGATCCCAAACCCCAAACCCCGATCCCCAGAGCCCCCCACGGAGGATGACGTTTACTGCCGCTGCCTGTCGCGCACGCTGTGCCACACGGCCACGCCTGTCACCGTCGGCTTCTACGCGCCCTGCGGCCACCGCCTGGAGACGCTGCTGGCCAAGGTCACCGGTGCGTCGGGAATTCGGGAATTCGGGATTTCCTCACGGGTTGGGGTGATCGCGCGGTTCTCAATCCCAAATTCCATCCCCAATCCCAAATTCCATCCCTTTCCTTCTCCCGTTTCGGTGTTGTCCAATCCCCCCAGTCAAAGCCCGCTTCCTGCCCCAAATCCCAAATTCCAGCATCAATCCTGAATCCCAAATCCCAAATCCTAAATGTCATCCCATCCAATCCAACCCAACCCAGACCCCAAATCCCAGCCCCAAATCTCATCCCAAATCCCCTCCCAGATCCCCAAATCCCATCCCAAACCCAAAATCCCAAACCCCCAAATCCCATCCAATCCAACCCAACACATCTCAACCCCCAAACCCCAACCCCAAATCCCATCCCAGGCCCCAAATCTCACCCCAAACCCCATCCCAGGCCCCAAATTTCATCCCAAATCCCATCCCAGGCCCCAAATCCCTTCCCAGGCCCCAAATCTCATCCCAAACCCCAATCCCAAACCCCCAAATCTCACCCCAAACCCCATCCCAGGCCCCAAATCCCATCCCAGACCCCAAACCTCAATCCCAAACCCCCAACTCTCACCCCAAACCCCATCCCAGGCCCCAAACCCCATCCCAGACCCCAAACCCCAATCCCAAACCCCCAAATCTCACCCCAAACCCCATCCCAGGCCCCAAATCCCATCCCAGGCCCCAAACCCCAATCCCAAACCCCCAAATCTCACCCCAAACCCCATCCCAGGCCCCAAATCCCATCCCAGACCCCAAACC